ATAAAACAACCCATCCCAACATTAGGAAAAACACCACTGGACCCAGATCTAACTATGTGCCTTGGCAATCCATTCACATCATGACTCCTCCACTGTTGTGGTCGCTACCAACCCAATTTGGGAGGTCACAGAAAATTCAGGATTTTAGCAGAAATCTGAGGTAAAAGCAGCACACTGCCCTTCAGCCGCCAGCACAGAGCTGAGGGGCAACAGGAGCTGTTCAGAGGCAATGGCAATGCATACCTTACAAAGACTGCTGACCAAGTGTTTTCCATGGGAATTCTGAAGAGTCCCTGCAATGTGCACTGTCCACAAGACAATGTGTTCATTTCAGGTGAAGCTTTAATTCCCTTTTATCAAATGGCTGAGATATTTTTTTAAAGAAAGTAACATAAAGGATATGTTTCAAGTAGGGGGGTGAAGCAGGATGATTAACAAAAGATATTTTATTAAAGCTGTGAATCATAAGCCACCTTATCACTGCACGCAGTTTTGCTCCCAACTTTGACTTTTTAACATCACCCCAGGACAACAGCTTTTTTGACAACACACATTTGCTGACCAGGACTTCCTGAAGAGATTCCAGCAGTCCTAAGAAAGCAAGAACCTTTGGTTTCTTCAATTCTGGTAAAACAATTCCTTTTCCTCACTGCCTCCTCCAGTCAGCATCACATGTGAGTGTTTCTATTGGAGCATCATGGAGTTCAGCTTGTTACATGAGATCTGTACTTTCCAATCAACACACTTGGTTCTTCCTCATGATTGTGATAAAACAACTTAAAGCCTTATTTGCTGTTTACCTTGACTATGGTAACAAACTACAATTTTTTTGTCATGGTACCTGACTTTCCTGCAGTGGTTGGGTTGTTTTTTTTTTTTAAGTCAGAAACAAGTTATTTGCTCCACACAGCATCCAGAGAGTCTTAGATCCCATTTGTACAACAGGATGTACCTTGGTGTATCTGAACTCACCCTTACATTCACCAAGACTTCCAAGATGTTTCCTATTTCCTAGAGGATTTCCAAGAGTATTTCAAAATGGGTCATCATTTTCCCTACGCCTTAATTTTTAACCTATGTAAATTCCCATTTTCTCCTGCTGAATTATGTAATCTTTTATAGAAATGAGAGATCCTCATCAGACCAGTGGAATTGTCACTACTTGTTACAGGCATCCCACCTGTGCTCAGTGCAACTGCTTCACCTGTCAACAGTTTAAGCTCATCTCTAATACCTTGGCAGGTATTTGAGTTTTGTTAGACATTTGCTGAGTCTCTCTTATTTGCAAAGAACTCAGCTATCCCAAGTAGCTGTTATATAGTTGGCAATTTCCCACCCTCCCCTGCTTAGAACCAAAGGAACATTTAGGCTGGAAAAGACCTCCAAGACTGAGTCCCAACTTCTGATAAATCCTCACCTTGTCAACCAGAACAGAGCACTGAGTGTTATATCCAGTTGTTCCTTGAACACCTCCAGGGATGGGGCCTCCACCACTTCTCAGTGCAGTCTGCATCAAATGGACTTCCATTCCAAATGGAATTCCAAGAGTCCATTCTGGGATACCCCAGTGTGGCCCCCACATCCCTGGCCCTTCTATGGGGATCCCCCAGCCTGGCTCCTGTGGTGATGGCCTAAGAAATATCAGGCTCATCAAGACCATGTGCCCAAGTGCATTGTCCAGACACTTCTTGAACTCTCAGGCGTGGGAATCACAGGATTTAGCCTCAAGGCACCTCCCATAGTCCTCCAAATACAGGCTTTCTGTACTTACAGTACAAAGAATTATAGGTGTGTATGTATCAGGTGCTGAAATGAGGCATGATGCAAGAGAGACCACAGGTAATTACTTTAACCAATATTCACACAGTGCTTTGAGCTGGTGAGTGGCAGGAAGGGTGGAAAGAAGCAAGCAGAGCCTCAGAAAGGGAAGCTGAGATGCTTACACCGTGATTAGGACTGATGCGCTGTTGACATTGAGCTACAGCTGCTAAATGCAGGAGGCACTTGAAGGAGGCTCCCTGTTTTGTTGCACATAGAAGTCGATAGGTTATTTAGACTGAAAACACCGCATATTTCAATTCCCCGGCCCCTCACGGGCGCCGCCAGCATGGCGGCCGGTCCCGTCACGTGCACGGCGGCGGCCGCGCCCCGCGCGCGCGCGGCACCTCCCCCGTGAGGGAGGCGAGAAAATGGCGGCGGCGGCGCCTTGAGCGGCGCGTCCCAGGCGAGTGTCCCGACCGGGAGCGCGGAGCGCGGGCAGCGACAGCCGCGGGGCCCCGGCCGGGCCGCGGGGGCGGGGAACCCGCGCCCTGACCGCGCCCCGGCGCCGGCCCGGCCCGGCCCCTCCCGCCCGCCTGCCTTTGCTCTCCTGAGGGGGCGGTGGCGGGGCCGGGGCCGGGCTGGGCGAGGCGGGGGCTGAGGGTGGGTCAGCCTGGCCTGGGCGGGGGGCGGCCGGCGAGGGGGCACCGGGGCCCCTCAGCGTGGGGCCGGTCCTTCACATGCCGTGGGGTGTATTCCCACAGAGCATACCTTCGTTATGATTGTTATTATTATGTCGGAGCCCTCTGTCAAATGCCGAAATGCCTGTAGGGGTTAGGCTTGGAGGAATTTTTAATTTTGGGTTTTTTGTGGTTTGTCCCCTTGGAATTGCAGGAAGAGGTTGTGAATTGAAAAAAAAAAGAAAAGAATAAAACCATGTGGTTGTGGATGGTTGTGGTTGTGGGTTGTCAGCAGGGTTTGTTATTACCATGGCATTTACCGAAACTTTCCAAAACGTGAGTGACGACGTTCATGTGTCCACTGTAAGGGTAGTTTGTTAATTGGTATAGAATAGCAGTTATTTTTTTACTTCAAGTGGTTGCTTTGACCAAGAAAGATAAAAAGAACAAAACTTTGGAGTATTTACCTTATGCACAATGTAATTTGAAGTTATGTGGTGTCTTGTACTGTTATTGCTTGAATAAATACAAATATTCAATATAGTTTTCTGTTGTGCTTTGTATTTTGGGCTCGTTTAAGTGAGTAGTGGTTGTTTCAAGTCAGTGTGTTTTCTAAAATTTGCGTTACAGAGATTGTTTTGTGTTAAAATTGCTAGGGAGCATCATTGTGAGGTCTTCATTAAACAAAATTAATTTTCTTACAAGTTAGCATCTGATGTCTGCACAAGGTGATGTGTCAGAGGAGAGATGGAGATGCTGAGCAAAAATTTAGGAGCGCCTTACTATACATCCTTTTTTCATTGTACATCCTCTGTGAGAACAACCTGAGCAATGACAATATTATTTTTGAAATAATTCTGAGCGAAAGCATTAACAGTTCTCATGGAGTAAACTTGTGATGGAATAGTTACTAAGTGGGATATGTTGCACATGTTGCATGTAACACACCAAAAACGTGGCCAAGAACGAAGCAAATGAGACATCTAATGTTGTTTTAAGCTAATTTAGCTGGTTGCATAACTCTGCAAAAACTAGCTAGACAAGTTGTAGGTGTAAATATTTTCAGGTGCTTTTAATGTCCACTGGAGGGGATGGGATTTTTTTTTTTTTAAGATACTTTTCATTATGTAAAATTAATGTAAAGTGGTTTTTAGAAATGATGCTGGGTTTGTTGGAGTGGGAACCCATGTGCGTTAACTTGTGCCCTGATGTAGGTATAAAAGTGGCATCAGTGATGCGCAACAGACCTGAATTTTTAACAAGAAGTCTTTTCTTTGATTCTAATAGCAGGGGTGTCTGCTTTTGAAGTATCCTTGATTGCCACGAATTTTCTTTGATGGCAAAGTCCATGCAAGTGTCTAGTACAAGGGTAGGCAAGAGGTCTTTAGGTGACTATGTATGTGTTACAGTTTAGTTGTTTCAGGTTGCCAGGAACTGCAGCATCATGTGCAACCCTCTGCTTGTAGAGTAGTCATGTTTTGGGATGTGAGGGTGGCAGCCTGGCAGTGTCCTGTTCTGCTTCCAGCTGTGTGAGTTGAAACTCCTGATTATGTTCCCATTTGATGTGGCGTCCAATGGGTGGTTTGTTAAGAACTTGGCAAAGCTGCTTTTTTTCTAGTACATTACAGCTCTCTCTGATTATTTCTCTGAGCCCCTCTTTATGGTAAGAAGGAAACACATCTTCTCAACCCTCCCTTTTTTTGGCATCCTTTGGAAAGCAATAAACAGCTACTATGCAATTTCCTGTTAATCAAAATACAAAGACTGAAAAAGAAGCTGCAGTAAACACCCACATAACATATATTGAGGTTTGTGATTAATTTCACTTATAAAGATGACATTTTGTGCTCTGTAACAGAGGGAAGTCATATAAGACTGGGGAGGATCATTTGAGGTGCTTAAATAGGTAGTTTCTTCTTTGGTTCTTGATGTATTGTGTGAGGTATTGCTGTTAAAAGGATTTTTTCCTGTATCCTTTCCCTCTCTCCCCAGGGCATTTCACTGGTGATTTTTGCAAAGAGCAGGTTTTGCTCAGTGTCCAGGGTCAGCCAGCATTTTCAGTCCTGGGCTGTGGCGGGTGAAGGAGGTGGTACTGGTCCTGTGTAGCTGGCTGGAAATCTTGGATGTATTCCCAAATTGGTTCTTTATTGCTACTTCTGATGGATCTTAGATTATAACTGCATCTCTCAAGAGATTGCATCAAATAATAGCAAATGCTACAAACTAAGATTAGATATTAAGAAATTCTTTACTATAGGGCTGGTGAGGCCCTGGCACAGGTTGCCCATAGAGGTTGTGGCCACCCCATCTCTGCAAGTGTTCAAGGCCAGTTTAGATGGGGCTTGAAGCAGCCTGGTGACCCTGCCATGGCAGGGGGTGGGACAAGATCGTTTTCAAGATCCCTCCAACTCAAACCATTCTGTGATTCTGTGAAACTTTTAAAAATTGTCCATATTTCTGTCTCAGCTAAAGATACTTTTTTTGTGTTAAAATCACCATGTTCTGGCCTTGCTTGCGAACCACTTCTGCGTCACTCCTGCCAGGCTGGACAAACGCTGCACAGCTATGGAGAATGAACCCAACACAACAACATGTTCTGCGTCCACAACGACCATCACCACCACCTCCACTTCCCGCACGCCACTGCCGCAGATCTCCGTCTACAGCGGCTCTGACAGACATGCTGTCCAGGTACTGGGCTCTGGGGGATTCCTTCCTGTCCTGTACAGAGCTCTAAACACAGGCATTGTGCAGTACTTTACACAGGATTAACTTTTCAATCTTAATTGCTCTTGTCTTTCTCAATAGCTGGCTTGCTTATTTTCAGGAGATGTTTACTGGAGGGTCTCACAGCACTTAAGGATAGTTCAGGCCTGTCTCCCAAATAAGGGAGGGGGAGATGATAGGATAGAAAGTTTGGTTTGTTCACCATTTCCTAAGGGTGCAGATTATTAACATAAACCTTTGCAAAATAAAGCTATTTGTTTGACCAAGATTGACTAGAGGGATTCAAGGTATTTGTGTGGGTGTAAGTGCTGCTTGGGATCCAGCCCCTTCTTGCTGTTCTTGAAATTTGGTCTCCTTGAACTATGTACAGTCCATTCTGTTGTGTTTGATAGTTGGGTTTCTCACACTACTCTGATCTCTCAAAAAGCAGAACATGATGTAGGATTTGTTGACAAGCAGCTGAGAGGCTGGGATGATGTGTTGGGGATGACGCTGTATTGTCAGGCTGTCCTTGAGAAAGTGAATATATTGATGTTGACAATACTCTGTGACTTGGTCAAGAACAGTGAGGGAGCAAGTTCAGTATTACATAATTGGTGTGAAAAAAATTTATTTGGTTTCATTTCCTTGTAAGGGTAAACTTGAACATCATGTTGGCATGGTGTGTGCTTTGTAATTGTAATTAATTACCTACTGATTCATACAGGTTATTCAACAGGCCTTGCATCGTCCTCCTAGCTCAGCTGCTCAGTACCTCCAGCAGATGTATGCAGCCCAACAGCAGCATCTAATGCTGCAGACTGCTGCTCTGCAGCAGCAGCACTTAAGCAGTACCCAATTTCAGAGTCTGGCAACTGTTCCACAGGTGAGAGTGAAGATTGCTGAAAAAGAATCATGTATTATCTAGAGCAGGGCTACAGTCACTGTCACACGTAATAACAGCTTAAGTGCCTGAGCGTAATGCCTCATGATAATTTACTGTTATATTTTAATGATGTTGTTATTTTAAATTGTATCATCCTCCAAACTGTTTGGAGGATTTTATCCAGTGGTATAGATGCTCCAGTAGGCAACCATTCCATGCTTTATTGCATACATTATAATGCATCATGTAAATCATCAAGCAGTAATAAAATAAATATTAAAAATAGACTACTTCAATCTTCAGCCCATGATTTTCTCTAAAAGTTGGTGGGGGAAGCAATGAATGGCATTGTATCTTAGTGAAATAAAAAATAATGAACATCTGGCATCTTAGTGTGTTTTGCCTCGCATCTGGCTGCATTATAAGTAATGGCAAAATTAAATTTTAACCCGGAGTGTGAAAATGTAGGAGGTAAATGACATTTCATATCTGAAACATCACTTTTAACATCAGTGATCACTGGAGGAGACCTATTTTGAATTAAAGCAGTGGCAAGATTTCCTTTGACCTCAGTTGGCCTTGGGTTGAGGATATGATCTTGCAGAGAGAGATGGTTGTTAATGATTTTACACAGGGAAATGCTACGTGGAGTTAAGACCTCAGGGATATGGCTGTTTGGTGTCAGAACTGGACTGACTCATTTTTGCTCCTGCCTTTTCTTCTATATCTTTTTCATTAGACTGTGGTAATATGTTGATTTGTCTTTTCTTGTTGTGATGGATTTCTATATAGATATACAGTTACTGAGACAGAGCAAAAAAAGTCAGGCTGGGAAAGGCTGAGAAGTTTTGGTTCTGTTCATACAGAAACCTAAATCACTGTCCTTGTTATTCATCTGAAGGGCTAGAATAGCATCCTGTGATAGACATTAGATGTGCATACCTAAGTTACCATTCCAGAATATGAGGCTGTTCTTTACAGCATTTATAAAGTTTGTTTTATTTTTAAAAGATTCTAGTCACAATAAAATTATGACGTGAGTTTTAATAATGATGTTTTTTTATGTCACGTTTTAAGTTTTAAGCACCATAGGTAGTGAGGTGATCACTTAGCTCCATCATTAGCAGCTTGGCAGACTTTACATCTGATCACTTTTCTTCAAGTCTTGATCTGAAAGAATTATATGCCTGAAATTTGGTAGGACTTCAAGGAATTTAGCACCTTGCAGGTAGCACTCCATAGTGCAGAGTGCACTTTGCTGAAAACTATTTCCACTGAGTAAAGCATCTTACTGTTAACTCAGAGAAGGATAGAGAGGGCTGTTTCTGATGATTTATGGAATAAAATGAACATCACTTAAGCACTTTCTGATTTCACTATTTGACACATATTCTTGCTATTTAGGCAAGCCTGTCAGGTGGGAGGCAATGTACTTCCCCCACTGGGAGTGTCACTCAGCAGTCAAGCATGTCGCAGACCTCGGTACGTAACTGCACCAAGCCCTTCCTCCATTCCCAACCCCGCCTGGTTGTTATATGGCTACAGGGAAAACCAGAAAATATTAATAGTATTTTAGTTTGTATTGTTAAAATTAATACTACAGACACAGTGAACAGGAAGTATGATGACTGTAGTAAGTGCTGGGTGCTGTATGTGATTGTTGGTGACCAGTGTTGGCTTCCCCAGTCCCAGACCCCTCTTGGTGCTCTGAGGAGCAGCTGCTCACTCCACAAGTACCTGTGGCTGTTCAAACTCCTGCAGAAATCACTTCCTGAGCTCTCATCTCTTACATGACTTCTTACTGGATTTTCTACATTAGTTTCTTTATTCAACGCACTACTGTAGGTGAAAATCCTAACTGTATCAGGGATTAAATAGCACTAAATCTAAAGAATCCAAGTTAATGCTCACATATATTTATGAAACGGAATATTTATAGCATTCATTCTTTTATTGATTAGCATCTTTTATCATTCATCTTTTTTGCAGTTTCATTTCCCATATTCTAGGCATGTGCTCAGGTTTCAGTTGTGAGTGGCTCTGTGTTCAATTCATGCTGTATTTCTTTAAGTGCCATTGTCAGACATGCACAATCTCTTCTGTACAGTTTTACAGTTTTCTGAAGTAGGATTTGTCAGTCCTACAGACATCCTGCTTATTAATCACACCCTCAAGCTGTTCATGATTCCAGTACATAGCTTCAATGATTTAACTGTGTATTTTTTTAAGCTCTCATAGCTTGGCTTGGCTTACAGTTGTTAGAAGTAAAACCATTTATTCATTAAATTTCAGAGGGAAAGTCTATTAAGATGTCTGATGTTAAACTAACAAAATAATTGGGCTGGGTTTTTCAAGGAAATCTTTTAAGTAAGTGATGAAAAAGAGCTGGGCACTTAACTCTGTTAGACTGGTTAGTGAAAAAAAGAAAAAGCAAAGACACAACAGCTTATTCTTTTAAGAAGATGCTAAAGAGTGCTTCTTGAGGAGCATTTAATAAGAAATTGGGGAAGGTTTTAGTCTTCAGTCATTTTCAGTGTGATGTGAAATGAGGATTGAAAGTCCATAAGTGGTGGCACAAAGAAGTGTCCCGATCAGATTGCATAATAGTAGATAGCAGTACAGGTAGTTAATATAAATATTTAAAGATCTGAAATATTAAAGTTCAGGTGTTCTTCTTAAAATATTGAAATCTCATTCTACATATTCAGTTAATGTGTATTTCTATGAGACATATTTTTCAGACTTCATATCATTGTTTATACTTGGAACTGCTTATTGTACTTACTGCAAAGTGGTTGCTTGCAGTTTAAAAATAAAAACATACAATCTTGCCAGAATCCAATGATGTGTGATGATTGGCTCAATGTATTTTTGGTATCTTCACAGTTCAGAGATTCTAACTGCCCCTGCCATTTTTGTCAAGGGCTTTCTGGCTTTAGACTCTAGGGTGATGGAATTTCCATGACAGAAGCAATATTTTTGTTTCCTTAGATTAACCTCTCCACCTCTCCTACACCTGCACAGATAATAAGCCGTTCTCAGACCTCCAACACCACCAGCAGCAGCATCACCCAACAGACGATGTTGCTGGGCAGCACCTCTCCCACCCTGAGTGCAAGCCAGGCTCAAATGTATCTACGAGCTCAGATGGTAAGTTTTGATTACAGTCCTTGCAAAGTTTGGCTTTGGTCTGTCCCTATTGGAAGATCTAAGCTCTCTTTCTTAAATATAGTAGATATTGGGCTGCTCTTTTGTCTTTTTTTTTTTTTTCACTAATTTGTAGCATTGAAGGGAAAGTCCTCTTAAATGCTTGTATGAATGTTCATAGGTGTGTTTATTTATCTCAAAGATTTTTCTCAATATGCTGAACAAATATATTGTTATATTTTGTTTGCATTATTCTCTTTTATTTTCTTTGTTTCAATTTGCTATTATTTTCTTTGTTTACTAAAGTTATGATAAATAGTTCTTTGAATAAATTTATCTAAAAGTAGAAAAGTAAATCTTAGAAGCTGTACATCAGTATGTGTAAGTTATGTATCTCTTTAAGACACTGCATTTGTTTTTACAGATTGTAAAAATTTCAGTCTGTTGGCATGTATTTTTTTCTTGCTTAACAGCTTATTTTTACTCCTGCGACAACTGTGGCTGCTGTCCAGTCTGACATTCCTGTTGTCTCCTCATCGTCCTCATCTTCCTGTCAGTCTGCAGCTACTCAGGTGGGCTTGTGTACACTTATTAAAGGTCTGCCCTGTCAAGTGGGACAAAACTGAAGAGTAAGGAAATGTTGTGCTTCAGTTTTTCTTGCTTTACTTTCATCCCAGACCAGAGAGCAGATGAGCTGCTGGGTTGGCTCTGCCAAGCTCCATCTGCGTCACCTAGCCTGTGAAGGTGTGCTGAAGGATTTGTCCTCACTGGGGCAGGATGGCAGTAAATGCCTCCTGCATGCCAGTGAGGAAGCAAGCACTGGTGACTTGGGTTTGTATGTGTCCTGTGGTGACACACAGAGCAGTGGGAAGTGGAATGTAAACTGGCTGTTCATTTTACAGGTACTAACTGTTGAGGGATTATGTAATCAAAATAGGGAATGGTGATAATAATTAGTTCTCTTTTTCATGTAAAAGATGATGTAAATTAGTGCTACAAGGGTAGGCATTATCCTTGAAAATGAAATTTTAACGCAGCACGTAGGATTGGAGATCTGGGATCATTATGTACAGATTCTGGGTGTGGTATAACAGACTTCAGTGAAAATGATCCCTGACTGATTTACATTTCAGAAAGCAAACCTTTTGTTTCATGTGACATTGGAGGTGTCATGATGAGAAGGGAGGTTAATATTGGTTAATTTGGAGATTAATATAGAAACAGAGGTCTCAGTTTTTTAGCACACAGATAGCAGAGAGGAGAGTGGTCCCACTGACCACCTAAGGCTCTGGTTTATGTTGGTGTCTGGAAGCTCACTCACAGACCAGTGCACATCCACAGTGTCTGTAAAAATAAATTTGCCTTTGCTTAAGATGTCTTGTGTCACTTACTTTGAAGGCACAATGAAAGAGAAAAATGAAAGGTTTAATTCAAATTAATTAATAATTTCCATTTCTTTTAAAAATCTAATAAGGGAAAAAAGATTTCTGTATTTATCATTGAAGTAATAAAGATCCCTATCCTTCTCTAAATTTTATGGCTTTAAAGATACTTTGATATGCAGATTTTTAGCTTCTTGTGATCACATGGAATGAGAAGCATTACAAAATGTAATTTTTTTTTGCTGTTTTTGCCTGATATTTATCAGCTATTTATAGAGTTTGGATCTTTTCATGTATTCCCAGGTTCAGAACTTGACGTTGCGCAGTCAGAAGCTGGGTGTGTTGTCAAGTTCACAGAATGGCCCACCAAAGAGCAGCAGTCAAACTCAGTCCCTGTGCCCCAGTAAAGCTGTCAGCAGCTCCAAGGGCAGCCAGCCAGATCCCTCAGAAAGCAATAGGAAAGGCGAGAGCCCTGCTCCGGAGTGTCGGAGCACGCCGGTCACACGGACATCCAGCATACACCACTTAATTACACCAGGTGGGATGAATGTGGAGCTATAGGAAACTAATTTGTATATCACAGTTCTGTCAGTTCAGTGCTCCCTGACCATGTTATTATAGATATTCCACATGAACAGAGTTCAAATTTTATTAGTAAATTCACTTATTTGTTGGTATTGGATGTTGCACAGGATTTTGATTAAGCAGAGGCAGGAATGTTCTTAATTCACAATACAAGCACAATATAACAACTGCAATACCCTATTGAGTCACAGCACAAACATGATTCTTATTCCTGGTCTCTGTATGTTCATTGTCAGGACATGCCATCCCATCTCTGGGCAGCAAAATATAGGCTGAAATCACCTCAAGCCTCTTGCTCCCATCTAAATCCATTTTATTGGTGGTTTGTTTTTTTTTTTTGTGTTGCCTGTGTCATGAGAATGTTCTTTTATCAAGTACTTTTATAAACCCATAGGTGACAATGCTCAGAATTTTAGTATTTTGTATAGAGATAAATCAAAATAACCTGCACTTAGTTAGGGAAGCACTTACATTGTATGTAGCATATTTGCATCTTACCTTTCTTATTTTGAAAAAGTGATGGTAGTCTAGACAATTGGTCTGAATTCTGTGAAATGTAGCTTGGCTTAATGACAACTTTTAGAGAAAGAGTGGGACTTGGAGGCAGACATTCTGGAGGTGTTGAACCCTAATGCTCTCAGAACTCATGCTGGTAAGAAAAAAAAACATCTTTGGTAGCAGAACAAATTAAAAAAACCTACATAAATGAGTTGCTTCTCAAGTGGACAAGACAAAGCAAGAAGAGGTTTGTGTGTGGAGGAAAATATGTATGTGTACTGTAAGAAATGACTGGTGAGTCACTGGTTCACTGAAAAGGTGATGTGATTTCTCTGGAAGCTACAGTGCTTTTAGGTTTGTGCCTCTCAGTTGCTGTGTTCAAGTTCAGACAAATGCTTTCAACGGTTTAAATTTATACTAAACTCTTGGAATTTTATTTAGTCTCTTAACAAAGTGTTATCTAAAGTTTAGCTTAACACATATCAGCAAATCCTGTTGTGCTTATAATTTCTCTTCCAATCTGTTTGAAAGCAAAGGTTAAATCCATTTAAAGTTGCGTGAAATTCTTAAATAGGGATGGATCAGCAATAATCTTAGACCTAGCGTCAAAAAGATAAGTTTAGATACTTCTTTATAGAAAGCACATATATGTAAAATGCTTGGCAATATTAATTTATTCATTCCTGCATTTTGCTTTGCAAAATGGTATACACCTGTAATAAATTGTTCTTGTGTTCTGTGTGCTGTCGAAGAAGATATTTTTAAACAAATACTGGAAGCTTTAAAAAAATTGTGCTGATTTTTAAATGAGAATTTTTGAGATATTTTATAATATTTTCAGAACTTGAAGAAATAAATGCTAATTGTCACTTTTTTCCCCTTCCCTCACAGCTTCATATTCTCCATTGCAACCTCATTCTCTAGTAAAACATCAGCAGATCCCACTTCATTCGCCATCTCCAAAGATTTCCCATCATCAGCTGATCCTGCAGCAGCAACAGCAAGTCCAGCCGATTGCACTCCAAACTCCTCCGGGCCAGGAACCGCCTCCATCCCAGCACTGTCTGCCCCTCCCCAGCCATGCGCTGCCTCCGGCTCCCAGCAGCGTCCAGTCCCACTGCTCCCCTATCCACATCCATCCTCCGCCTCTCGCGCTCTCTCCTACCCCATCCCAGTCAGCTCAGCAGTCAGTGGTGGTGTCCCCTCCGCCGTCCCAGTCCCCGAGTCAGTCACCCACCATAATTATTCACCCTCAAGCCCTTATCCAGTCCCAGGCCAGCTCCCTGGTGCCGGCGGCTCTGCAGCCCGAGCCGGCCGCTCCCCAGGCGGCTGCTGCTAACCCCGTGCGGGCATCGCAGCCTCTCAGCCTCCCGCCGCACCTGCCGCTCCCGCCCTCGTCCGCCGTGCACATCGGGGCCGTGGAGCCGCCCAGCTTGGTTTCCCCGGGCCAGCAGCTCGTGTCCTCCACGCCACACCAGCAGTATCCAGCCCTGCAATCCGCTCCTATCCCTCTGGCAGCTCCGCCTCAACTCTCTGCCTCCTCAACCCAGATTCAACCGCTGCCCCTGCAGTCTGTGCAGTCTTTACAAGTACAGCCTGAAATTCTGTCCCAGGGACAGGTTTTGGTTCAAAACGCTTTGGTGTCTGAGGAAGAACTTCCTGCTGCAGAGGCTTTGGTCCAGCTGCCATTTCAAACTCTTCCTCCGCCACAGACCGTCGCAGTAAACCTGCAGGTGCAGCCGTCAGTTCCGATTGAAACTCCAGTGGTGAGTGGTAACATTGCATCCTTTATTCTTTCTCTGGGCTACTCCAGAGCTGTAAGTCTGGCCCGTTGACTTCAAAGGGACCTAAATCAGGTGCTAGACAGAGGATGAGAAACCTACTGATTACAGAACTGAGTTTTAAGAAAACAATAGACTTTTTTGGTTTGGGGTTTTGTTGGCTTTTATTAATGTATCATCAGTCAAAAATATCAACCAGGAAGTGTGAAAGTGTAAATTTGAGATCTAAAATCTTGTTTCTTAATGAAATTACAATGTCTTTGAAGTCTAAAAAAGTAAGTAATATATGGCAATGCTTATATAAAGAATTTTGGTAAATGTGATGTGTAAACTTTTACCTCAATACAAATAGATTTTGATTAGGAGAACAATCTATACTAGTTGTAAGGCGCATATCAGGTTATTAAGATGATAGGTTTCTGGATAATTACTTTTGTACTAACATTAAAAATATCCTCTTCATAAAAGAATAGGGGAATTTTGATGCTGTTTTGGCAATTCCCATCACCACCATTAAATTTGGTTCAGTGTTTGTCTCAGTTATCTGCACTTTGTAATTGAAGGTTTTCAATCACTAGATTAAAATCATGTACAGGAAAAGAGATGATATGCAAATAAGGCTGACATTTAAGATGGCATTGCTGGGCTTTAGTGGTAAAATGCTCATGAGATTAAGCTGAGCAAAAGAATCAGCAGCTCTTGTAGGCTTTTTTGAGGCTTTCAAAAGGTTAAGGAACGGATGTGCTGTTCATTTTTAATTTATTTAAAGAGGGTAATAATCTCAACTTTGCTATTTCATGGAGAAATTGGGCAAAAGAGTAGGAGCCAGGTTTGCTTTTGACAGGGCGGTGTTTTACATTTTAATCTGCTAAACTGACTGTCAGGAATTTATGTAAATTTATTTCAATACTTTTGAGGGAAAGACATTAAAATCTCTTATAACCACTAATGCTTGATAGTCTTGGTGTGAAATACTTCTGAAATACTCAGCTTGATTACACTGCTGTATAAGATAGAACAATTTGTAGACTTGTCATTAAACTTGAATTTTGCAGATGTATTTAAATAACATCAAATGTATGTGTAAATGACAATAAACTATACACATAAGATATTGAAAAATCAAGTTCTCTGCTCTGGAGAACTGTGTTTCCTTATGTATTGCTGTTTGTAACAAAATAATTTTACTCTCATAGATACTGTGATAGCCCCAAAGTTCATTGTTTGAAATGCATTTTGGGAACCAGTATTTTATATTTTATTAAAATATTAACATATTTGAACTGGTAATTTATTTTTAAAACTGTATTTATGCAACTCTTTTAAGGTGTTAAGATAGAATGGAAATCTCTCTAAAGCAATAGTTTGTTGGATGCAGATTTACCAAGTGGAGAATGTGTGTGAAGAGGAGATGCCCGAGGACTCAGATTGTGTCCACATGGCAAGAACACCAACACCACCCACCTTGTCCCCACCAGCCATAACCTTGGGCAACGGAGATGCCCTTAATTCAGAAGATCCTTTGTCAGGTGAGGACAAATGACAAATTAATGTAGCTTTTGGTTTTGTGATTTGTGTAAGTTTCTAATGGCCAGCTATGTTTGCAGCTAGCAGGTACTGAGTAAAGGAAAATGTTTGTATGAGGAGGGTGTGTTTGTGGAATAGTCTGTTGAGATAAACAATCTTGTTTTAAAAGTGGAATCTTTAAACCCTAGGGAAGAGCCTGTGTTAGGGGTTGATAGCTGCAGAGATGGGTCTTGGGGATTTATCATCTCTTACTTGCAAATTCTGAGCCAGTGGTTGAACGTAAGTGATAAAATATAACATGTTTTGTTATTTTTTGCAGAACATGGGGGACTGCCTTCAGTGACGTCATCAGTCAGTGCCTCAGTAATTAAATCTCCATCTGATCCTTCCCATGCCTCTATTCCACCACCACCTCTTTTGCTTCCAGCAGCAACGACAAGGAACAACAGCACATCCATGCCCAATAGCATCCCCAGCCTAGAAAATAAACCTCCACAAGCTATTGTTAAACCCCAGATCCTGACCCACGTCATTGAAGGCTTTGTGATTCAGGAGGGGTTGGAGCCATTCCCTGTAAGTCTAAAAGTTGCTAGGAATATTCTACTACTAAGCTTTGAAATTAACTCTTTATAAGAATGATGTTATTTGTGGGTTGTAGATATTTATATCTTGAATTATGTTTCAGATGTTGGTTTTGGTGTTTTCTGCACTGATTGGTGACTTTAGTAAGCTATATCTGGAGATAACTATAGAGAGTGGGTTTAGGCTATCATTTGAAATAACTTTTTTACATTTGTCTGCCTCCTGGATCCCTCAATTTAAGCAACACCTTAATTTAAACCTCAGAGCTGAGTCAGTGTTAAAATTCTAAAATGTTACAATTTGTTGTTTCAAGCACTGGCAGGCTCTTAACTCAGCTAGGTGTAATTAGTGCCGAGTCTGGTAAGAATTACTGTTGAAAATTTTAAATCACAAACTGACAATTTAAAATATGTTTTACTAATTTAATGTGTGTCCCATTTTCCCATTCCTTCATTTCTGTAGATATAATGTGTTTCTTCCTTTGTTAAATATAATTGCAAACTCTGCAGAGCAGGAGTGTGTCTTAATTTGTTTGAGAAATGAGCTTTGGCACAATATAATTACGCTTCATTGATATGAAGTAGAAGCTGATCATCTCAGTTACAACTGTTAAGTCACAAATACTCTTTTTAATTATTCACTGTTGTGAATAATGTTAATTACTCACTGTTGCTTTGTTTTTATTACACTAGGTCAGTCGTTCATCTTTGCTGGTAGAACAGCCTGCAGAGAAGAGATTGCTGGTGGAGGGTCAGATAATGAGTGTGGTGTGTGTTGAGTCAGATTTGCAGAACACAAAACATGCAGACAACTCATCAGACACAGAGATAGAGGATATGATTGCAGAAGGTTTGTAGTTTTTGTTTAAATTCCTATTTCCCCCCTCCAGTTCTGTGTGCTATGAAATGGGAATCAAACTGTGGCCTGGCCCAGAAAAAACAACTTATTCCGTGAACACACGATTTCGTATAAATTCATCTAAGATTTGAAAATTCAGAACTTTTTAGCCAGCCCTGGGTTTTCTTTCCCACAGCTTGTATCCTTATTGCACCAGAGGTATTATTGGTGAACTGCTTAAATTTAGGCTCAATGCAGCTCTTTCTTTCATCCTCTTAAAACAGTTCTATTCCCTCTTCCGTATCAAAACTCTATGCAGCACTTGTTTTGTCCTTAATTTGTTTCATTAGATGTTAATCCAGTTTTCTTTTCAGTATTAACACTATGCTGTGTTTCAGATTTCAGACAGCTTGTCTGTTTTGTGGAATTATCCTAACTCTCATAGTTTTGGGTTTAGTTATTGTTCCTTACAGCTGGTGTTAGGTTTATGTAGAGAATTTGTAACTACTCATTAGATTCGCTGGTAGGAAACCTCCAACACTGAGACACATCCATGTACACAGAAGTTAAATAGAGGAGATTTTCTGATAGTGAACCAGGGTATGACTGTGTGTGATAGAAACACCCTTCAAATACCCTTCTCAGTATTTCCAGCTCTTTGCTGCACTAGTGCTTTTTGTAGAGGAGGAAAATGCCAATCTCGCCTCACCGATAACAGAAAATACTCTGTAACAATAAGCTGTAAATCAGCAGATGACATAATCCTTTTCTTTATTGCATCCTACTTATCTTTTTCATTGATTGAATGTTATATATACTCAGGATTCAATGTTTTCTTTGCTTTCACAAGTCCCTTTGGTTGTAGCAGCTGCTTATTCAAAGAAAGTTCTTTAAAAGGTTAATTCATTATGTCATTACAGGAGAGTTTGCATTTAGACTGTGGAAGGCCTGGTTCTCCTAATGAACTCCTTATGAAGCAATTCATGAGGAATGTAACCCTTCTTTTTGAATTGCTTGCTGTGTTTGAGGGCAGACCTGCTCATGGATGGCTTGAAATTCAACAAGGAACTGATTAAGTTCTTTGAATAACTTAATTGAAGGTTCATTAAGATTCAGTTTGCTCAAGATCTTTTCAAGACAGAATTAAATCTGTTACTTGCTTAGCTTTGCATAATTGTCTGTTAATCAAAGTATTTAATTGAATGTGTTAAATATTTGAAGATCTTTTGCCTTCTTGAGGTGAGAGATGTGAAACATAGTTTTGTGTCATTGGAACTAACTTTATTCCTCATTCCTTCTTTAGAGGGACTGGATGAAATTGAAAATGATCTTCTGAAGTGTGAATTTTGTGGAAAAATGGGATATCCCAATAAGTTTCTGCGGTCAAAAAGATTCTGCTCCACATCCTGTGCCAAAAGGTAACTCTATGTAGTTATTGTTTATCATTATCTGGTTAATGGATTAATCTCTCCTAGTTAAGAGAGCAAGTATTCACAGTCAACATCTGAATGCAAAGTCTTCCATTGTAACAACTAGAAAGTTGATGTTTAATACTATAAGTTTTAGAAATGGGGAAGAGTTTCCCATTTCTAGTCATCACATAGTTCCTTTTTGGCATCAGTGTATCTGGACATGACCTTTTTCATATGTCTGCTACATTCCCATTCAGGTGGTGGGAATATATAGTTTTGATTTGGTACTTCTTGGGATACCACCAGCAAAGTAATCTTAAAGGGATTTAATCCTTTAATCTTAACATGGGATTTTTGCCTCTATTCTCCTTTGACTGAGTATCAGCTAGGTAGAGAAAATGGAACCAGAAAATACAATTTGATTTTAGGTTTTAAGTGGACATTTCAGAGCAGAACTGTACTCTGAGATAAAGTGCAAAGGTATTTCTGTCATGGAAAATTTTTAAGAATGGGAAGGACAGACATCTTCCAGGGGTAATCTGGATGTACTTGATCCCACAGTGAGATGAGGGTTTTGATTAAATGGCCTTTGAGATACCTTTCTCTTGTATTTCTGTGACAGCTATTGTTGCAATTAAGCGGCATTTCTACAAGACTCTGATTTTATGGTTTCATGATTGAATTCAGTCCAAAAAACTACTAGTGCATTATTGAATATATCTTACTTCTTTAGGCACAGCCTTAGTTGCACTAAGAAATTTGGGCTGTTTCCATCAGACAAGACCAGTCGTTGGAATCGGAAGTCAGATAGCCAAAGTCTTGGGCGACGCGGGCGTCGGCCGAGCGGCCCTGAGGGGGCATCACGGGATCATTTTCTTAGACAGGTCTGTGGAATATTTGCTTAAAACTATGGCACTGCTTTGGGAATTGCAAATAAAGCCTAATGCTGTAGTTACTGCATTTTCCAGCTTCCAATTACTTATCCATCTGCAGAAGAAGATCTGGCTCCTCATGAAGACGCTGTTCCAACGGCCATGACCACGCGCCTGCGGAGGCAGAGTGAGAGGGAGAGGGAACGGGAGCTTCGGGAGCTGAGGATGCGGAAAATGCCAGAGAGCATCGACCTGTTACCAGTGGTGCAAACTGACCCCTCAGTATGGACTGTCGATGAAGTTTGGGCCTTTATACATTCTCTGCCTGGTATGGAATGGGCAATAACTTGTTCTGTTGGTTTTAACAATGAAGTTCCTTGCTTTATAGCAGCACTGTGATGAGGAGGTGGTGTGGTAACAGCAGCAGTGTTAGCTGGTGATAGAGACTGGAATGTGATTTGTTTCCTCTTGCTTGTTCCTTCAGCACAAATCCCATATTGATAGAACTAATCCCACTTCTGCTGTTGCATCCCAGCTGATGGAGATTAGAGCTGTTCCTTCCTTCAGTCTGACTTCTCTTAAGAGGTCAGTAGAGAGATCAGACTTCTTCCCTGTACACTGCTTTCTTCTCTTCCCTCCTCACTTGTTCCTTCTTCTCTTCCTTCCTCCCTTGCTGCTTATTCAGTAGAAAAAGCAAGAACAGTGTTACTTCCCTTGATACAACTGAAAAGTTTGAAAGACCTGTCATGATACAAGTCATTAGAAAAGAATAAGCAACTTTCTGCCATAAAGTTAAAATTTATTTTGCATAGCTTAGCTCAGAGATCTGCCTAGAAATTCTGCATACTGCTGGTCTCAGCTTGTTCTCAGAAAAAATAATCTGTTTTTTCTTTGTTCACAAACCTTTCCTTTAGCTCAATATTCACAGTTACCTTTATGTCATCTTCAGGTTATTTGATATTTATCATTTCTTAACTATCATAACATTTAAAGCTTCACTCCCCACTTTTTCCCAAGGATGCCATTTTATCTGATCAGACATTGTAACCCCTACAGATAGCAAGGCAGAGCTCCACAGCAGCAGTCATACCAGAATTTTTGTTGCTTATCCGTTAAAACCAAGGCTACATTTGTTCCTGATTTTCTACTTTTTCTGGAATGCTATATGATTTTTTTGTGAATCCTATTAGACTATTAACCTGTAAGGAATATATCTTCACTGCTAAGTCATACATGCATTATGACAGACAGTCTTTTGTAGTAGGTCAGGCAAAGAATTGAGTAAGAGATGTCTAAAATCTGCAAAAGTCAGCCTTGAAGTACCTTTCTTCTGATAGTTTATTGCAATTCAGTAACACTATCTGCTTCTGGGAACCTGCAGTGATGGCTGTAGAAACAAGCAAAGCTCCTTAGGTATGGGATGTGGTCATTCCTGTTTCTGTACTTGAGCTTTGTTATAGTGTAGTTCAATCACTGCTGTTTTCAGTTACTGTTTTTATGGATTTGGGGCTCTAGTTAATTCAGTAACTAAACCTAGGGTCTCAATAAATGATAGTTCCTGTGCTAGAATAATTGAAGTGCCACATAAACACAATTCACTTGCAAATATGAAACAAAAAATTTTATTCTTAAAATATGGTTTCTGTTTTGAAACCATTACTTTTAGAGTATTTCACTAGCTGCTGGATCTGGTTTAGTTTTTTGTAGTCTATAAACAATGCGATCTTTGATTTTAAGCAAACTTATATTTATTTGTATATAATAAAAATTTATTATACTTGCTCGTACCTCTCCATATGAATTCCTAGTTTCTCAAATACTTTTTTAAAAAAAGTTCAATAGATATTTAAAGTTATATTCACAACATGGCAGAATTTTTATTGCTACATCACTGCATTTGGGTTTTTGGGTGATTTTGGGATTTATTCTTTCCAGTATATTCTCAAGTCACTCTCTTGAAAAATTGTTTTATCATATACTTCCAAGATTGGTTAATGCAGAAAATAATACAGATGATTTTCAGTATGGTATTTTATATTGTATATCTACTTGGTGCAGTCTGTGCAGACCATCTGCCATGCTGCAGGGGATGGTGATTTGTCACTTTTCCATAAACATTAGGGACATCTGTTTTCATTTATAGCTTTCTGTGCAGTCTGTAGCTGAAATGGACTTGTGTCTTTGTCAGGCCTTTCCTGAGCTCCTCTGGAGCCTTTTGGAGGAGTCAGTGTCCAGGACATTTGCACTGTTAGCTGCTTCTTCTGGGAGAATTGACAGATCAGCTTAAGCTGAGCAGAATTGTTCTCCTTACTTCAGTTGCAAGATCAATTACCTTTCACCTGCTCCCTACCCTTTTTTTTTTCGGCCAAGTTATTGCACAACAAGCAATTGCAAAAGTGTTTAAGAATATACTCAGGATGAGGGAACTGCAATACCTTCAACTTCCATCCTCTGCTTTTCCAAAAATGACTGTGATAAACTACTTAAAAAGTATTTAAGAAGTTTCATGGAAATTGCTTAAAGGAAAAAGCTAGCAGCAACAAATATCCAGTTTCCTATTTCAATAGGAACAGCTTTGTTCCTAAATATAAGAACTTCTCCTGATCTCTCAGATTCTTTGTAAATGGTATGGTCTGACAATCACAATGTTTAGGTCTCAAATCAGACATGCCATGATACCTTTCCCAGAAATACTCAATATTTGATTTGCAGATGTTTTATCTGTTGTCAACACTTCAATAAGAAAACATTTATGATGATTTCAGAGCTAATTGTTGCATGAGGTCTGATTAACAAATCATTAAAAAAATTGTGCTTTATTCTTTGTGAAAAGCTAACTTTTTCCAGCCTTGAATGTTACAACCTTCACACAGTAATAATCCAGATGAATTCAGGTTTGGATGTTGATACTTCCTTCCATGTTTCCTTTCCATTTGCCTTGCACACATTTATAAATCCATCAGGAAATTAGTCTACCTATTCTTTATGGAATTTAAATCTGAACACATAAGAGAATACAAAATTAGTTGCTGTCATCTAGGTAGAAAAGTTCTTCACAGTAATTTCATATCTCTGTAACAGTGTACTTTTAAAAAGGGAAAATGCAAAAATGCCAAAAAATCAGCTTACTTGAGGAATAATTGAAATCAGGAATGGAAGGTGGAGCACAAATTCAAGTGTGTCTGAAAGGCTCTGAGACAGATGGAGAGACCGCTGGATTAGGAACACAAATGTATTAAAAAACCCCACTGAAAACATTGCTGGGGGAACGAAGCTTCAAATAAACAACTGACAATGAGTGGTCTCATGGATGTTGTTTGAAGACATTTATCCATCTAACAGAGCTGTCATAGAGCCAGGCATAACTGGCTGATTCTGCTCAGCAGATGTCCAGAACATCTTTGGAGGAACCTTTATTTCCACAGTGTTCTTTAGTGGAAAGGGGCCCTCAGTTACTCGGTACTGTCCAACCCATGTAGAGTCTTTTCTATGTTATGATCTTCAGTAACCTGAGACTGGTATTTCATGTTGAAAAAAGGAGTTTAACATGGGGAAAAAAGATCCAACCATTTTAAAGTTGCACTTGTGAAGTGAATTACTGCTATGTGTAGAATATTCACTCTGATAACTAATGATAAATATCTCCATGAGATACTTGTGCCAAAGCCCATACATCAAAACTTTGTTTCCTTTGTTCAGTGGTGTAACACACAGATGGAATTAACTCCTTTTGGAAATTGTAGCTATTTGGATGTTCTCAGTGCACATAGCAGTATAATATAGTTATCTTTTATACAATTAGATAATAATATCTTTTTATTGCTGGAAAGAACCCACTTAATTATGTTCCTGATTGCTATTTCAGTGCTGTTTACCCAATCACTTCCAATGATGAGAGGTTGTTCCTCTTAATGAAATGAAAATTCTGTCTTTGCTGGGACTTGAAATTCCCAATGAGTAGTTCTCCAAGAACTACAGTGTAATTAGAGGCTGTAGTAAAGATTACTTTCATATTATTTCAAAATTCCCATCATAATATTGAACTCTTGCATATAATTTAGGTTCAACAAGCTAAAGGGATGGGCACTGGAAAATGTGTAGCTGAAAAGATCTGGTGTGGATAAAATCATTTGAGCTAAGAATGGACATTTCTTAATCATATTTTTTATTACCTTTAGGTTGTCAAGATATTGCAGATGAATTTAGAGCACAAGAAATTGATGGACAAGCTCTCCTCTTGTTGAAGGAGGATCACCTTATGAGTGCAATGAATATTAAGCTTGGACCTGCATTGAAAATCTGTGCACGTATCAATTCCTTGAAAGAATCCTAGGAGGTGAACATGAAGGTTTAAACAACAGTTTCTCAGTGACAGAACCGACAGTAATATGCCAACATCTTCACTGTGGCATGAGTGTTACTGTGATGTTTTGTTAAGTAGGTGGGGCTCTCCTCACATAAAGACTTTAAACTGTTCCTTTGATTATACCGGGAGTCCTCTGTAGTTTTCAACAACTAATAGGTTTATAGTAAAACCTGAGTAATGCTTTGAGTTGAAATTTTTCATGGAAAAACATGAAGTGAAATATGCTGTGATAGGTTAGGTATTCCCCAACATGTACTTCATCTTATGAGTTATGATTAATATCCCAGTCCCCACCCCAATCTAGACACCATTTAAATTGTGTTGCTGTATTTTGAAAGACTTTTCCCACATACAGCAGTGTTTGGACTGAACTAACAGAAGTGTCCACAGGCCCTGTGGAAGCACTAGTACCAGTAAAATGCTATGCATTTAGTTGTGCTCTCTGAGTTTGTTTTAGTCTTGAGCAAATTGTTTGTAAGGGGTAGGTTGGCAGCTGGTTTTCCTCATGTAGGCTTATCCTCATCTCTGCCACTATAGTATTTTCTTGAAGTCTGTAAAATACCATAAACCATGTAGATGTCTCACCAAAATCCTCGTGATCAGGCTACTGACACTCCTGCCAGAGGTAACTGAAGCACATGTTACTTTACTCTGAATGCTGCTATGCACTAAGGGGGCATTAAGTGTTAGGTTTGGAGTTTCACATGCTGCTAGTTAAGCTAGACCAGCAGTTCTCAAATGGGGGTTCAGAGTGGACCCTGAGGAAGTGTGTAAGCACTTGGGGTCAGGTTCCCAAATGCCTTGGTGTGAGGGGCTGAAAACTGCAGCCAGGACCAGCTCATGTTGAGACAAGTTGCTTTAGAGTTGGGGTAGAGAAGGGACAGCATAGCCCAGATGTTCTTTTTCCTGATACCTCTTCTAACATGTCTTTTCCCTGTAGCGCATTCTCGTTGCCTCATTGGAAGCTTCCAAGCACCTTTTCCTTATCCAGGGGCCAGTGTGAGCTGTGCTGGCTGTTCTCTGAGGAAGGAACAGTGAGGCCACCCTCAGAGCTTGTGCAGGAGTAGCTGCTGCTGCCATGAGGGAGCCTGGAGCTTCAGGTCAGCAGGAGGAATGCCAGCGTTGGCAACTCTGGGAGAATTATGCAGTGGCCCTGATTTGTCCCTCTGGCAAGAGATTTTGTCTTGGATGCTACAGACCCCAGTGGTGGGATTTTAGTGTTCCACTCCATCTTCCCTCTCACACTCTGTGGAGCAAATACATTTCTCCAGTTACTGATGCTCTTGGAAGCTGCTTTGAGGCAGCAGCACCTTCTTGGCCTTTGGTTCCCCACCACCTGTGCATGGATGCTCATGGATGCATTTTGTACTTCTGTTCCCTCCCTTTTGCAGCTCCACTCCCCTTATGTACAGACCTGGATTCCTAAGCTCTTGTTTAGGGAAAGAAGGGTACATGTGCTGATAGTCATTGTGTATATTTGAATTAAATATGTGTATGTGTCTGCAAATAATGTATTTTTTGTATTTTATGCAAATTAATGCATAATATATGATTGTGTAGGGAGGTATTCAGGGGCCTGTACAGTATACCTAAGGAGAAAAGGAACTGACCTAAAGTTTGAGAACTGCTGCCCTAGATCAAAAGGAGTCAATGCACATACACTGGCTGAAAGGCAGGTTTGTGACAGACAGATTAATATGTATATTATTTAACTGATGACCTTAAAGAGTAAATTTGGATTACAGAAAAATCTGTGCTTTATTTTCCTTTAATTAGACTATTGCTTTGTTTCCACTAACAGATTTTCTACCATTACCTTCTGGAGATCAACGTTAGAATCATTGTTCTTAATTACAACTGTTTGAGCTTGCTAATAGCAGATGTTATTAATGCTTTTATTAACCACTGAAGCTGCAAGTTAGGACAACACACTGTAGTTGCACGCTGGTATGTGGTGAGAGCCCTTATCCAAACGGCACCAAAGCTTTAGAGGATGAATTGATGCCTGGGTTTATTTTGGAGGGAAGTCGCTAAGCACTTTCTAATTTGTTTTTTTTCTGTTTTCAGTTACTGTTGTAAAATAAACTACTTAGTTGAAGCTCCAACGTTTGCTAATGTTCATTTGAAAAACATTCAAATGATGGAGATAGTGGGTTCCCATTTGTAGCATTTCTGTAAGATACACAGTGTAGCATATCTGTAACATATGTTTTAAAGGATATGTTCTGTTTTGATGAGCTAACTGAAGACTAAAGATATCTTAGATATTTATCCTTTGGCTTTTGTCTTAAAGTTTTATTATTTTTATACAGAAATCTCACTCGCTAATTTTTAATCTGTCTTCTGATTGTACTGTTCTTAGGCAATGTAAAAAGTAGGGATACATAAATGTGGTTTGATAATGGTTTAAGGTGTACTAGAAAATGTGGACTTAGGGGTCTTTTTTAGACCTGTAGTTAATCAGTGTTACATGCATGGGAATTTTATGGCTGCTTTAATTTTGCTTTATTAGACAGCTTTCAGGAGAGCTTCTCCAGCTAATGTTTGTGTCCAGCTCAGCCATAATCACTGCCAGGTGCCAGGAGCTCAGAGCAGACCCCACTAAGGTACATCTGGTCCTGTTTGTCTGGTATGTAACATTCCCTGTGGGTTTGGGAGAGCCACAGATAATGAGTTATGCTTTAAATATTCATGAATGCAAAAGCTTAGAATGTGGACCTTATGCATATTGAAAGTTTTTTTTTTCTTCTTCGGTGATCTTAGCAATTAACTGGAACTTAAAAGCAGAGGCAGCTATACTGACCTGTATTGATAAAGTGCACTTGTATGGGAGTGTTTGCCAGTGTAGCTGTGTCAATAAAATCAATTTTTTAAAAAAATTCACACTTGTATGTGAAAGTAGGCTGAAAAATTTCCAAGTGCAGCTGAAGTCTACTTGGGAAGCTTATGAATTTGCTCAAAAAAGCAATATAATACTTAGAGTAACATTTCTCCAGAACCATTTTACATACTGGCCACTTGCTGTTCAATAGGTGAGGTCTTCCCAGGCTTATCCTACCATTTCCCATGGCTTTCTCTCATGTTAGGCTGTACCCTCTTGCAAAAGAAGTATTAAAGATTTTAATTGTATTTTAAAACTTGTAATGCTTGCAGTATTTCAGCTTCTATAGGAATAGCTCAGAAGGGAGATACATTCCATGGCTTTTTCCCTTCCTTTTTCTTCACCACTTTCCATCCTACCCTACTCCTTAGCAGAAACTGCAGCATTATCTCAGGGCAAGGCCCTTTTGCAGAGCACTGGGCTGAAGGTGGCTGTCAAGATTTCATCCAGTAGACTAGAACTGTGACACTTGTCTCAGCTTCAGGGTTTGTTTGAGATTTTAAAGAATTGCACGTGAATGATCAAAATGGGTGTGCAGCCTCCCCTGATCCATCTGGCTCATATCACTCTGCATCCCTGCTTTGCAGCAGGAGCAGGGCATTCCCCTGAGGAAGCTTGGCTACCTCCACTGACTTAAAGTGCCAGTTGTTTTGGCTCACCAGAGAGTGTCTGAAGGGTTTTTTAAACTGGCTGCATTGTAAATCCATTCTTTACCCATTAACCCATCATATTTTTCCAGAAATTAAGTTCTTTGTGGAGGGTAAAGTCTTCGTTAGATTTTTGTCCATGAGACATTTCAAATAGAAGATTTATGTGCTGCAAGCATCCATTTCCTCATTTCTTTCCTGTGAAAGCAGGTATTTACCCCCTGACTTCTACCTGTGCTTTGTCCAAAAATGAATCCAGCCTTTTGGATAGAACAGATGGAGTCCTTTGTAGCTGCAGATGTGGCAGAAGGAGGAAAGGATGGGATAAAACCAACTGTTTGGGCAGCTTTTGCATTATTGCTCTATCTTGAAGTGTAAGGAAATATTCAGGTACAAACCATTGAAATGTAATTTGAATGGAAGTTTGTTGTGAGACTGGGCTGGGTGTGGTGTGTTACTGCCCGGCATGGCAGCTACAGCTAATGCCAGTTTCAGATGGATGTTCTCATTCTAATATCACAATATGCATGCAGGAACTTCTGCCTCAAGAGCTCAACAGATTTCTTACACAGTGACAAATCTACAGCTCTGAGTGATCAAAGAATTCAGTGACAGCTGTGTTGAGTCCTGGTTTTGCAAACATCCCCATAGTTTATAACATGAGTAGTTCTGATTGTACTGAGACTGCTCCTATTAAAACTCAGTATCTATAAAGCTTGCAGGGTTATTTTCTCACCAGTGTTGTATAGAGATGTCCTGTTGTCATTGTTAACCAGATATTTCCTCATTGATTGTTTTAGGCTGCAGATAATGATTGTGCAAAACAATCAGTCTAGGACAGTTTTTTAATATTTGCCTAAATTAGTTATTAGAGATGGAGATAAGCTAATATTTTAGAGTATTTTGTTTTAAATACACTGTTCCTGTTCAATGCTGCATGGAACAGGTATGAGCAGAGCTATCAATGAGTAATTTCAGTGTAAAGTGTTAACTGCTCATAGTGAATTAATTTTCAAGTCACTCTTTATAGTGAGCTATAGTTTCAGACAGGAAATACTGTGAGGAAAAATAAATTTTAAATTCATTTAATACTTAGTTCATTTAAGATGAGCCTAAATTAAATTAATTATAAAAGAATTTGCCTTTAGTCATGAGAGTTTATTTAGACCTGAAAGGTTCTGTGTAGTTACATCCCCTGGATGGCTTTGCAAATGGTGACATTTGAAAAAGAGACAGTAGTGATGCTCCAGAAAAGTGCCAGGTGTGTGGTTTTTCAGGAAGCTTTTTCAGGAAGCTGTCCCTGGTCTGAGCTGATGGAGTTGGGGCCTGGGACACAGACTGAGCACCAAGGCAGTGAGCACACATTACCCTAATCCATGAGAATCAGCCTGGTTTGTTTTTACCATCTTCATCTCTTTGGAAATCTGACATTTCCTTCCCCACTCAATTTCTTAGAGTGGCATTTTGCTCTCTTGGGTGTCAGCTCTGGGGGCTGGGGCATTTTGTGTCCTGCTTTATCCCCTGGGATCCATGGGCAGCACTTCCACGTGTGCTCAAGGTCCCATCTGAGCTGCTGTGTAGGTTTGTGTAATCTCTGCATTAAAACCCACACCTGCTCATTCATTTGTAGGCTGCATAGTATTTTCCAATCTCTTACAGCAAAGTGGAAGGGAAAAAGCAGAGTTCAGAGGTGTGAATGTGCTGGAAATTTCAGGAATGGAGTAAATTCATAGTCCAGCTTTTGTAGCCACAGATTTAACTTTTCTGAAGCACAGTTCTGGGAGCCAGTGTTATGAACAGAATTCAAATTAAAATTTTTTAAACTTCCATTAAGTATTCCTGTTGAATTATCCAAATTACTCTGTACAGTAAGGACATAGAAAAATGAAATTTTAAAAGATTTTTTTCCATCTAGAAGTAATTGTAACTTGAGCGCAATTGTGCATTCATAGAATTGTGATCATAAACACTGTTGAAGTGCAATACATAACACTGAAGGAGCATTCTAATTGTGTTTATTACCCCATTGGTACATCGGGTTATTGGCAGGCTTGTGGTGTTGTTGCTAGGTAATAATCAGGGTGTCTGTGCTGATTATGGGATTAGGTTTGAAGCACAAATGTCTTTGATTCATGAGGTAGATTGCTTTGTGGGTGAAGCCTGGGCAGCCTGTGGAAGGCTTGTGTTGTCCTCCACTACCCAGCCAGGATGCTTCCATCCTCTGGTAGCATTTTGCAAATTCATTTTTGGAAAGAGCAGTGAGGGATTCTGCACACCAAATTTCCTTTTCAATTAGTCTTTGTGTTATAAAATGAACAAGCCAGTAGTGACCAGGAAAGATGTGTGTAAAGAAGGATTTTATCATTGAGTGCCAAATACTCTGTTTAGAGTTGAAAACACATAGAATATCTCATTAAAATCAATGTTGATTTGTAAGAGATTCTTTAAATGAGAAAAGTACAGAAGTCTCCCATAAAGGATTAACACTTCAGCTGTTGTTAGCATTAATATCAAATAATCTTACAAGAATTTAGGACTGTAAGGTGTTTGAATTGTGTAAGGCCATTAGTTGCTGGCACAGCACAAGAAGTGATGTACAGAGGAGATGTAGCAGTGGTTATCTGTAGTTGTTTTATTTCAGATATTTCCACCTCCCTGGCACAGCTTCTGTCCTCTTTGGCAGTGAAACTGTCACCCTGTTCTAGAGAGGGATGGTCCAGGCATTGGTGTTGGTACTGCCCAGAAGCACCAGGTTAAAAAACAAATGCCCAGAGGAAAAGATACAATTGTTAGGAAGGCAGTAGGATGGAGATCACTGCACAGTTGGTGTCTCCCTCCATGAATGCCAAGGATAAAAGTGGGCTTGCAAAGAGTGTTACCATTAATATGTTTTAAAATAGTCACTTGGCAGGCTCAGGCACCGCAGTTGGATGTTGGAGGAGACCTGCAGTGCCACTGTTGCCTCCTCAATGGAGGTGACAGCCTAAAAGTTGATGCTGTTTGGCACTTTTCTACAAAAAGTAAGAAAGAATAAATTCGACAAGTGATACAGTGATGTAACATCAATCCATCAATATTTGCTTTGGCTTCATGTTGTGGATTCCCTGTAAAAAATGTTAAAAACTTCAAGTGGCTTTAGGAGCACTGCAGCATCTACAGGAATTCTGGCACGTTAGGGCAGACGGGGTTGTGTAAACTTTAATTAGGGCTTGGGAAGCTGAACCACACTGATGAATAAAACATGTCAGCAGCCTCACCCAACTGGTTGCAGTTCCAGTTCTATGCATGTTAGTGATTCAGAAGGGTGAGACTTACCATGCAAAACACACCTGAAATGAACTTGAAAATAGCTTTGCCTTCATCTGGTGTTTAAAAGAGGAATTTCCCCCTGCCTGCCGAGTCTGTAGGGATTAGTTATTTCATGATTCTGAAATGCCTGGTGCATTCTTATATTTGATGTATTTGCTGATTTTTAAATGGAATTAGGTTTTGTAAATATTTTGTCAGCCCCATTTCAGTGGGTGTCCAGTTTCTATAAAACCTGAAGAAATGTTGTGTCAAACCCCTGTGTTTAGCCATGGTTTATCCTATAGCATCTCCAGCTCTAGCTAACAGCAATTAGTTTGAGAGAGCAGGGAACGATTGCTTAGGGTTGTTTTTCCAGTTAACATTGCATGTGCTTTCCTACTTTTAACATGAAAAGAGAATTTCCCCCAAGTACATTTTCCAGCATAAAAAATGAAAAAATTTGTGGTGCCAAACACTTCAAACAATGTTGCTAAGCATTGCCTCCTCTTATTGCACTAGTTTTAAAATTCAGTTTTCGCTCATTTACTATCCTTTTGATGGCCTTTTAAACAGATTTTCCCCCAAAATCATTTTTTACTGCTGAAAAATGCTTGTCCCCTTTTGACTACATCACAGAAACCTCAAAGAAATTTACCACAGACTGTGGGTGAAAGAAGCACTATGTGGGGTGAAGTAATAAATCGAAGTAATCAGATTTTGATATGTTTCAGAAATCAAAGATTAATTTATGATTGAGATGTGATTGTGTATTCTTGTTGAGTGAAATACTGGAATATTCTTTTATAAGAAAATTTAACCCATGTAGTATTAAATTCTGCAATTAAATCTATCTCTATAATTGATATATAATGAAGTAAATTATTACCCAAAATTTAAATTTTACAGTTGAAGAGCACACAATGAACTATGTAAAAGTATAATCTTTACTTTGTGAATCATTTTTTAAGAAGCACTTTCCTATTACCAACAAGCATGTGAATGAATTTTAGATTCTCTCATTTGTTATGATCTGTAAAAGTGACATTTCTTCGATCTGTCTGTTAATGGGTAAATCCATCCTACATATGCTGAAACAAAGCACCTTATACTATGCTGCTTAAACTTGCTTGTAATTGCACCTTTTGTTATCTGCAGAGTTTTCTTAATGAGTATTCTTGTGTGAAATCATTGTTCCCTGTGGGTCTGGGGGACAATTAACCAACCTACAGCATCATTTACTTAGTTTCTCTTTCAATACAACATTGTATTGTGAGTTTAGTGCTTCAGAAATAAATGCTAATTTCATTTGTCTGCTTTGGTTGTGTATAATTTATTTCTCTTATACAAAATCAAATTCAAGAATTTGAAAATTGAGAGTATTTTTGCTAGAAGCCTGACTAATTCTTTCCCTGCTAAAATAGTCCCACTTCATATTTAACTATTTTAAAGTAATTTTGTCTTCAAAATAAGCTATATTTTAATTTAAACCATTCTTTAACCTTGGGCATTTATTTATGTATAGCAGCTAACCTTGATGCTTGTTGCTCTAATTATTTTGTTTTTAATATGTTCATGTACCTTAGAGGAGCAGCAGAAAAGAAGCAATGAAGCAGCACCTCTCCTGTGGCCGTGGAAATTGCACATGTTGCACTGCTTTTGCACTGGTTTTGTACTATATAAAGTTTCTATTTCTGTAGGAGTCGTATCTTTAACTAAAACAAGTTATTTCTTGTTAGACAGCAACCTTTCCATCAAGCTGACAAAACCCCACATTTTAACAACAAAATACACTTCAAAAAGTCATTTGAACCTTATAAATACGTAGTGTGATACTGGCTTTTCACAAGTATTAATATGAATGTTATATGTGTATAATGTTAGATAGCTTTTGCTATGTCTTTTTCTTTTTCTCCTGCTATTAGCTAAAATTTAGGCTTAGGTTAAGAAGAATTTTGGACGTTAGGGTTAGGTCCTGCCTGAGCAAAGCAAGATAACCTCCAGTAAACAGATGATGGGGCCCAGGCTGCTGTCAACACTTACTGCCTGTGGAAGAAAGAACCCCAGCCCAAATACAAAAATGATAAAGGGGAAATTAAACCTGAAAAGTGCATGCTCTAAACAGGCAGACCCAAGGAGTAGCCATCCAAAATAGTTCTTGGAAAAGTTTGAATATGCATTTAACCATTACAGCAAAATGGTATAAAAGGAATGTTCCCAAGACACCAGGTGTGCTCTTGGCAGAGTGCCAAGGCACCCAGCCATTACTCTTTGCTTTATTTTCTGTCTCTTATTGTCTTTATTAAAACTTTTAAAATTTAACAGGAGACTGAACCTCGTTTTTCACACTTAGGTCAGCTTCTGTATGTAACTCCAGCCTTGAAGACTTTATTGCATTTTGTACTGTAAAACCTGAGATAATTCCAGTTAAAGGAACTGTAGAATTCTAGCCAGAAACACGAAGTTGAACTGAAAACTTGTCCTATATAAGCAGTGTTTTTTTAAACATGTAATTTGAAGTTGAATTCCCTGGCGTGGCAGTGCTTGCTGCCCACTGGGACTCGGTGTCCTGAACCGCAGTGCAATATCCACTGAAGTATTGCTGGACACTGAACTTATTTCCACGGAGTGAAGCTCTGGAGATGTTTCCTTGTATTGTCTGTAAGGACCCAGCCAGCCAGCATCAGAGTTCTTCTTTGCAGCCTTTTCCGTCGGCAGCTCATTAACAGTTGACGATTACTGCGCCTGGCTTATCAGCTGGCTCTGTGCTTTCATTGTTGAACGGCATAAAGCAGAATTTCCAGCTGACAAAGGGGTCTGTGCACCACCCTTCCTCTGTCAGCTCCACTTGGTGGCACCGGCACCAGTAGGCTGCTGCCAGGAGAAAGCTGTTGATGAAGTACAGCCAGGGCACGTTCATCTCCACATAGGCTGGGATCTGCACACCCAGGAGCAGAACCACCACCTGGAGAACAACAAACGGCGCCCAAGTGCCGAGGAAACACAGGAGGAGCCTGCTCAGGAGCTGCCACTTGAAGCGAGTGTTGTTGTTGTTAGGCACGTAGGGGAACAGCAGCACAGGCTGGCTGGAAAAGGAGAGGAGCCTGGCAGACAGCAGCATGGTTGTCACCTCCTTCCAGCGAGCCAGGAGAGCCGTGGCCAGCAGCAGCACCATGGCACACGACACCCAGTAGCTCTGCAGGCTGCCAGAGAGAGGGCACTGCGAAGGGGAAACACTGTTCTGCATTTCCAGCTCTTCAGAGACAGCGGGAACTTGGAGAGTGCAAAAAAACCTGGAAATCCATATAAGCACCACAGCAAATACATAAAGTAACTTCCGACCTGTTTTAGGGAATTGGGATGTTTGGGGGACGGTGGTGTAATAATCCAGAGCAGCCACAAGATACACTGGGTAAGGCAAAATCCCGTAGGTCAGAGAAGTGATCTGAGTGAAGAGGCAGATGTGGTACTCTGTGAATCGCACGCCCCAGAGTGCAAAGTCCTCAAAACAGAAAATGAAACAGATACTCAGCAGCAGTGCAAAATCAAGAAGTGCCACTGAAATGCAGAAGTATCCCATAAAATTGACTTTCACATGTTTTGGCTTAATTTGCAACATGAAGAAATCAAGGAAGACTTTTCCAAATATAATCAGGACCAACATGTAGCTGATTTCAAGAGGTTGGCTGGTGTGGGTGCAGTGGTACTGACCAGAACCATTTTCACAGAGTCTGTTGGCCATCCTCCAGTGGTGAAAACAGCAAAAATAAATATCACAGGCCACAGTGCTTCATATCTGAAAAAAAAAAATAGTAAAAATTTATTTGTGTGTAGCTCAACCATTTAGTTCCATCATAGGAGCTACCCAGTTTGTTGGAATTTTTAAGGCCCCTTAATGAAGAGTAGAGACCCTCACTAACTCATCATTAAATTATCAACGACTGCTGAAATTCTGTTTTCTTTCAATTACATTCTCCAGAGTGAAAAGGTCAGCATAATTTACTTTTCTACCTAATGACCCAAGGAAAGGTTTAGGAAATAAGTTCGACTACGTTCCTTTAGAAGGCATGGAGAGGTTTTTCTGTCCAGCTGGGCAGAGGGATGGAGGTTTCAGAGCTCCTGCATATTCTGAAAAAATTACAGGACAGAAATCGTACAAGACACTGTAGGAGATGCTGCAGCACTGCCTCACAGTTCATTATGTTCACAGAATCTGCAGGAAATCGAGACTACAGAAATATCCTGAAAGCAGAAAAAGCATCAACCATCACCTCTGTTTCGATGCAAAAGTCCTGGAACTCCGCCGCCCGCGGCTGCCGGCGCCGCCCGCTCCTCGTCCCGGCCGCTCCCCGCCGGGCTCCGCCGCTGCCCTCGGCCCTCCCGGCGGGCTCCTGCTCCTCTCCGGAGCCAGAGGGACGGAGGCGGCCCGGAGGGCTCCAAGGGGACGCCCGGGCTGCCCCGGCCGGCCCCGGTACCCACCTGCGGCCGCCGCTCCGCGCTCCCGACCGGCGGGGCCGCCACCTCCGCCCGCCCCAGCGCGGGGACCGGGCGGGACCGGACGGGCGGGGAGCGGCGGTGCGGGCTCGTGTCGGGGGAAACGGGGCACAGCGGGCAACACGTAACATATATAACACATACACACGTATAACACATGGAACAGAACATGGGTAACATACTACAGCTATTAAAGAAACATATAACACACATGACACATATAACGCATAACATAGCACACATAAACACATATAACACACAGCACACATGACACACATAATACATATAACAAAATAACTGCCCTGGGGAACAGGTTCCGTGTGTTGTGTTTGATCCCCCAGCAGTGGGAGGTGAAGCAGCCTCGTGGTGCCCCAGCGCCGAGAGCAGCACGGTGGGACACCCAGATCCTTATAAAAGTGGCTGATAAATATTTTGGGTTCTAAATGAGTGATGTGTGTGGGGAAAAGGCGATCGTGGGGCATAAGGGTGCTTCAGCGGGAGCCCTCGGGTCCCCCAGGGCTTGGCTGCATGGGCAGGAGCACAGGACGCTCCCTCTGGGAGGCCCTGTGCCCACACGGTGAGTATTGTTTGATGTGTGTACAAAAGTATCAAGTGGTTGGCAGGACTTCTGAAAGCAACTAACTCTATGGAATTAAATTTAGATATAAGCTGTGATTTTCCCCCCCTCAATTTTTTCTCTTTTCTCTCCTCTCTCCTTCCTTATCCTCCTTCCATGGTTCATCCTAAGAATAGAAGAATTTGAGGGGGAAAATAGTTCTGAGGTTTATTAGGTTTGGGGTTTTGTATGGAAAAAAAGATGATCAGTACTCTGTAAAACCTGTCAGCTTAAAGTAATATTTGGAAGTGTTCACGTTGACCATAGTTATTTATCCACACAGTGTTTATTAGGTCTGTTGCACAAATTGGAGTATAATAAGGAAATGTTTACACCTGACAGAGGTATTGCACCTTCTGAGCACCCAGTCCACCCACAATTATCTGAATAGTGATGCTTTCATAGTAGTTTTCCTCTTAGTTCTAACCCAAGGCAAAGCAATGAAAGTGATTTTCCCAGTGGGAGCAAATAAACTGTTTGGATGTTTGGGTTTGTTTCTGTTTGTGTCTCTCTTTCTGACTGCAGAAACTGCTGCACAGGCCTGGATGAAGAGATGCCTGGATATTGGGAATGAGGAACCAGGAGGGGACAGGGACAGTTTAGACATTTTTTTCTGATGCTAAAAATTCCAGTGAGAGTGTGACCTCCAACTGTGTCAGCTCTGTGCTCAGTGAACCCTCACTGGGGGAGTTCCTCAGCGGGGCCCACAGAGCACAATTCACACATTACGTCCCCTGTTCATGTTGTGGCTGCTTCTCAGCTTCCCTTTCCCTTCACCATCTTGTGGTTGTTTGAAAGTTTTCTTTGAACTCACTGATTACTCTTGTTTTCTGCTCCTGAGTGCTTTATCTCATCTTCCATCCCAGAGACGTGATGGTACAAGATGGGATATCCTGGAAATCAAATGCAGGGCTTGGTGCTGGCAGGTCCTTGCTGAGTCAGGAGCTGCTCACTCCATGTTGGATAAGGGCTGCCTCTTCCTTCACAGGAAAATTTTCAGGTACTTGACAAGCACCAAGTAGTAAATAATACCTTCAGCCCATCCTGCTTGGTTAAAGAGGCTGCATTTATGTCCATAAGCAGCAATAGAAAGTTTAAGGAATTAGTTTATTTTTGCATGGAGGCAGCTGTGTGTAAAAACAAGACAGGAGACTCCTCCTAGAGGAGACGGGTACCTGAAATTGCAGAGAATCTCTTCTAAAAGCTGTTTGTGTTAAAAGCTCATGCAGTGGTTCTGTGTTGTCTGTTCATTTGCATAGAGGCTTCCTTCCTTCTTCAGGGCTGTTTCCTGCTGCTGGTTGCTCGTATTTTGGGTTCTGCTGTTCAATTTAATGGAAAGCGTAGGGTTTTAGGGGAAAGGAAGAAGAAAAAAGACCATCTCTAATTTCAAATCTAACTTGATAATTTCCTGAAAGAAGCAGTGGCTGATCAGCAGTGGCTGAGGGACTCTACCCTCTCCTCCCTGCTGTGCTGGAGCTCAGGTCACTGCAGCGTCTGGAGTCACTGAGGAGGAGCAGTGGGGACCAGCAGAGTCCCTGCATTGTCGCTGCAGATCAGCCAGGGGCAGGTAATGAACACGACTCCTTTACAAGGAGGGTGGGCTGTGCTTCCTGAGCAGTTAGAGCTGAGTCTTGGCTTTTCCCCTGCTCTTCCTGTTCGAGATGTGCTGTGCTTTCGAAGTTCATTGCTCCCTGTCCCTTTATTGTGTTGAGCAGGGGAGTAAATTCAAACCTCACCCCTGTGTGTTTCAAGCAATTTCTGTTGGAGTTTTGGACATCTCGAGCCATGTAGGCAAAGACAGGGAGATAAACGCATCTTTATGCATTTTGGTGTCACGTGTGGGGAATGTTGCACACTGGAACTCCTGCACAAATGATTATGAACATTCCCACTCCCAGCGAGGGGCTGGGGGTGACTCTGGAGGAGGATGGTCCCCACAGCCAGGGGCAGTGGGCCACTGGAATGTCCCTGTGGAATGTTCTCTGGAACATTCCATGGGGATTCCACATTCGTCTGTGGGGTGAGTGCCAGTCTGACAGCCTTTGCCCTGGCTGTGCCTTTAACTGGGTGTAGCCCAGCTGAGCCTGCTTAATGCCCTGTTAGGGTTTGTGCCTTGTCAGCGCTGGATTACCAAACCGAGCTCTGCCATGGCCGGTGGCTGTGGGGCTGCGGGTCCTGAACGGCTGCATGGCTCAGAGAGACACAGCTTATGAAGATTTTATATTTTTTAACAGAATATGTAACCAGTAAACTATTCAACAAACTTTATTTTAAACTAACTTTACTTTTAAAGAATGTTTACTAATGTCCCATTTGCAAGATGTTTTATTTTTCAAGAACCTTTGAAAAGCACAGACGGTTTGTGGTGGATCTTCATTTTGATCACTGGAGGTGCTCATCTTAAAAGTAACAAGTTTGTTCTTAGGAAGATCTTGTTGAGGAACAAGAAACACGTTTCCATAATAATTTTAATTTGAAGGCTTTTAAAAATAGAGTTCTAATTCTGCTTATTCAGAGAAAATCCAGAAGATGCAGTACAGAGCTGGTGTCAGCCTTGCTGGATTTTCAGGAGTGGTGTTTCCTTGGTTTTTGTCCCTGCTGTGTGTTGTCACTGCACAAGGTGTAACCTTTCCTGCTGCTCATGATGTCACTGCAGTGTTGGTGGGTTTTTGTCTTTGACACAAATAGTTTTTCAAGGAACTGGAAAAAGATGGTACAAGCAAGGCCCTAAAAACTGCATTACTTGAACCAGTAATTTAAAATACCCAGTTCATGGTTTACTGGTCACTGTAACACAAAACTGAAATTAAGAGTGAAGCCAACATGGAGTGCAGGGTGTGATTAGACTCTCTTTGTGTTGGAAACACCAGAGCTAAAAATCTTTTGTAACCTTTTAGGATATTACTTCCTCTTGGTTGACTTCAATTTTAAGCAAGTTCCGTTGTGACACTTTCATTTAGAGGGAAGCTAAAAAGGAAGGAAATGTAATTTCAATCTCACCCCCAATGTGAAGAATTCAAAACTCCATCTTCTGACTCCCTACAAACAGCCTAATTACTGGTTGAACACTCACATATCAGAAAGAGAAAATAAGAATTTACTGTGAAGGCCAGTGAGAGTCACCCTGGGCTCTGCTCTGTGTTTTTATTGATTAGCAAAGGTAAAGTGCCAGAATGTCTCTCTCCTAAGCACCCCCAGCCCTCACTAGATCCAGACTCCAGGGGACTTCCAGGGATCACAAGCTGAGCCTTTTCTGTTTGCCTTCTGTTGTACATGATGAGGATTAATGGTTGTTACCACTTGCAGAAAATCTTTGATGTTTATCTAAAGCAGGATCAATGTTTGCCCGGTACTGTTCCCTCTTTACTTCAGCTTGCACTGAAACCGTTTGCACAGTGCTGTTGCTAACTCTAAAGTAATTCCTCTCTCAGAAGTCTTTTATCACAAAACAATTTTTTTCTGTGATAATTATTTTCACATACAAAAAAAAAAAAAGAAAAAAAAAATACACATGGCAAAGCAAATGCCTGTGTCAGCCAGGCAGTAATGGACTCTTTGTGGACACTATCAGGAAATGTCCCTTTTGTTCTCCTGCACCTGTTGCTGAATTACAAATAAAATAATCCAATGCTTTATTAAATAAAATGAGTAGCCTAATGAAATTGTACCAGCCATTACCAGGAAGTCTATTGAAAACATTCAGCAGCTGCTTCAGTTTCAGTTCCCTGACACTGACAGGATTGTTTCACCCTTCTTCTTGTGCTCTGAGTGAGGAGGGCACAGTGCCTTGGACCACCTCACACCACTCTGCTCTTGCTCCCTGGGGAGGATTTGGTCAGAATCAGTAATAAATGATCCTCAACAATTAAGTACCTTGGACTTGCAGAAGTTAGTTAGGAACCAGTGTCCCAGGCCTTGCATCTGAGTGTTTTGCAAGCATCAGCTTCTCCTGACAGTAATAAAACGGCTAAAAATCTCCTGTTTGAGTCTGATTCTATACAGAGGGGTTGATTATGAAGGTTGAGAATCAAATCAGTGAGTCCTTCTCATTAGAGAAAATACCTCAGCAGCCTGAGGAATGCCCTGGAGTGAGCTGGGGGTCAGCCTGGCTCAGCAGAGTTAAATGTCACCAACTCCTTTGCTAAAGGTCTCCAAGAGAATTAAACTGTCTCTGATGTATTTAAAAGTCAACACATCTATCACAGCAGTGCTGGCGAGTAGGTGGAGACTCTTTCCCTAATT